CTGCAAGTTAACAAGACTATGATTTATGGTAGGCTTTTGCAATCCTATAAAAACTCTTAAACTGATTTACTGCCTGTAACACCCTTTTTTTCTTTTAACTGTTTAACATATTTTTAAATTGTGGTAAAATATACACAATGTAAATTTTACTTTAACTGTTTTTAAACGTTCAGTGGCATTAAATACAGTTACATGGTTATGCAACCATCACCACCTCCATCTACAGAATTTTTTTCATTATCCCAAACTAAAGCTCTGTCCGCATTGAATAATAACTCCCCATTCTCCACTCTCCCAGCCCCTGGCAAATTCCATTCTACTTTCTGTCTCTATGAATTTGACTACCTTGGGTACCTCACAGAAGTGGGATTATACATTATTTGTCCTTTTGTGTCTGGTTATTTTACTTAGGATAATGTCTTCAAGGTTCATCCATGATGTAGACATGTCAGAGTTTCATGCAAGTATTTTTACTTCAGCTCCGTTCTCTTGCTCGCTTGCGATTTCCATGGATCCTTAGGATGAATCTCTCTATCCCTGAAGGTGATCTTCTTTGTCTTTCTCACAATCAGAAAGAGGCTGACTGTGGCCTCTGGGTTACCTCACAGCGGAGAGATGCCCACTGCCTGCTCACAGGCGTGACCATTGCTGCCAGGTTGGCCAGGAAGCGCTGGGGCTGAATGGAGCCTTGGGGAAGGGGAGCATGGCCAACAGTGCTTGTGCTCGCCTCCCCTCTGCCCACCTCCATTCTCGGGGATTCCCCCATATGCTCCTCTATTAGCCATTTAGTCATCCAACATTTTTTGAATACCTATTATGTGCCTGGCATTGTGCTAGGCACAGGAGATACAGGGAGGAATAAGACAGACATGGGCTCTGCCTTCATGGAATTTATAATCTAGTGAGTGGAAGACATTCAATAATTAACTATGCAAATAAATAAATGTATGGCTACAATTGTGGTGAGTGCAATGAAGGAAAAGTGGAGGGTATAATGTAAATGTCTAAACGGCGGGCATCAGCCTGGAGTGGGAGACGTGGGGTGTACTCAGAATCCGTTGACTGACATGGCCACTGTGTCTGACACTAGAGTAAGAATCACAGTCCCTGTGCTCAAGGCACACCAGTCCAAAAGGGGTCCAACCGAGAGGTCCAACCCCTTGGTTTTGTGATCCTAGGACCACTTTGCTCCCTCCCCTCTGGGGAATCACTATCCCTTTTCCAACTGTGTGTCTCTGGGGGCCCCTCTTTTATGGTAATGGATGTCAGGTAAACTGTTCTTTACTTTGAAGGGAAAATCATGACATGTTCAGAACACTGGACCCCAAAACTTTTACTGAGATGTCAGGCCTTTGTCTTTTCATGGGATTTATATCACCTGGGGCATCTGATCCTTTCTGCTCTCTAGGCCCCAGGAGCAGTGTGTCATCAACATAACGGAATAGCATAATGTCCTGTGTAATGTTTAAGTGTTCAAAGTCTGAGAATTGGACAAAAGAGACACTGAAGGGGCATCTGGCTGGCTCAATCAGTAGAGCATGTGACTCTTGGTCTCGGGGTTGTAAGTTCAAGCCCCACATTGGGTGTAGAGATTACCTAAGACTAAAATCTTAGGGGCGCCTGGGTGGCTCACTCAGTTAAGCATCTGACTTTGGCTCAGATCATGATCCCAGGGTCCTGGGATTGAGCCCCATGTCCAGTTTCCCACTCAGCGGGGAGTCGGCTTCTCCCTCTCCCTCTGCCCCTCTCCCCATTTGTGCTCTTTCTCTCAAATAAATAAAATCTTTAAACACCACCACCACCACCAACAAACAGGGGCACCTGGGTGGCTCAGTCGGTTAAGTTTCTGCCTTCTGCTCAGGTCATGATCTCAGGGTCCTGGGATCGAGACCCGCATCAGGCTCCCTGCTCCGCGGAGAGCCTGCTTCTCCTTCTCCTCCCTGCTCGTGCTCCCTCTCATCTCTCTCTCTCTTTCTCTCTCAGATAAATAAATAAAATCTTTAAAAACAAACAAACAAACAAACAAAAAAGTAAAATCTTAAAAAAAGAGACAGAGACAGAGACAGACAATGAGGTCCGAGGCAGGATGGTGAAGGTTCACTGATGAGCCTGTCAAATAAAAGCAGGATTCTGATCATTTCTGTCTTTTGGAATAGAGAAAAATGCATTTGCCAGATCAATCACTGCACACCAGGTGTCAGGACTGTCTTTATTTTCTCCAGCAATGATACCACATCTGAAATAGCAGCTGCAATCCGAGTCACCCTGTAATTAAGTTTATGGTAATCCACTGTCATTCTCCAAGGCCCATCTGCTTCTTCACTGGCCAAACTGAGAGTCAAGTGGGAGTGTGATAAAATCACCACCCCCACATCTTTTAAAGGCCTTGATGATATTATTAATCTCCCCAATTCCCCAAGTGGTGCACCTATTGCTTTTGGGGCTTATAACTTGGTAAGGAGGGATTTCCATTTGATTTTTCTCATCATCAAATCCCTTCCTCTGCCAATCCAAGAGCCAATTCTGCCAAATGGCTGGAGATATTCTATTCCAGCTATATAATTAAGGGCAGGGAGATCCACACGGCCTATTGTGAAGTCTTTCTAGTCAAACTACCAATTATTTGACCCAGCTCAACTTCCACTCTGGCCAGTAGAGCCTAATGGAGTTCCGGGTCCCCAAGAATTAATATGAGCTCAGGGCCTGATTATCACCAGAAGATCTGAGTATTAATTTTTCCATTGTGCGCAGTCTACTGACTGGTGGATGGCTTCAGATCCCTCTGGGAAGGCTGGAGGCAGACCCACAGCACATACTTGTCATGTTACTTGTCATGTTACTGCAACATCCCTTCCTGGGAGTATCCATTCCAGCTTCCACTTCTTCCAAGGGTCTGGGTCAGTGACTAACTCAGGCTAGGGAATTGGGTCAGAGACTGCGCTGTCAATCCTGGTGGCTGAAGTCAGACTTCTGTCTACTGAACCAGAAGTTTTCTTTAGACACACAAATCAAACAGAAACTTAGTGGGTAAACTGCTCATATGTTTTGGTGTTAGAGACTCCATGACTGATTTGCCATGTCAGTCTCTGCAGTTCAGACATCCTGGTAACTCCACTGGCTCCGTCCATTGCAGTAACTCCACTGGCTCCGTCCATTGCAGTAACCCTGCTCACTTTCCTCTGGAAATTAAGTGCTGCTACTTGATTTCTATAGCCCTAGGGTCTGCATCCCCACTGAAATAAGGAAGCCCACCTCAACTGCTGCTTTTCTCACCAGCAGCTGTGTAGAGGTGCTGGTACTTCTCCTTCCAAAGCATTTCTCAAGGCCTGGGTTTTCTGGCAATCAACTTCTGGGTAAGCCCCCCAAATGTCATGTCCATTACTTTCTGTTAGGGGGTTAACTTTATTTTGAAAGCCACTGGGAGCCACTAATGTGTTTTCACCAGTGGAGTATGGTGATGAAATTTACATCCTAACAAGAATACTCCTGCTGTCTGGTGGCAAGGTTAGAGGAAGAGGCAAGGCAGGAGTGAGGGGAAATGGGGTGACCCCAGTAAGCCTTCAAAACATGCGGATGGCAGCCACACCCTGGAAAGTACAGGACAGGGGATATTGGCACTGGGGGAGTCAGGGAGGTACCCCAAACCCTTGGGGTGTCCCGGGTAGGGCATGGTGAGTGGGGACACGTGGATGAGAGAAAAAAGGATTTATTCTTGTGTGTAGACTTGATCTTCTTCATGACTACGCCTGGGCAGGGCTGAGCAACAGCTCAGAGCCAGATGGCTGAGAGGAGAGTAGGTCAAAAAATCTGTTCAGCATGGCCTTGTCTGGGGGTTTTGGTGACACTGACTGGAAAGCTCTGAATCCCAGCATCTGGCTTTGGGGTAAGCTGTGGCCTTTGGAGTCAGCCTCGACTCTCTTGCTTGCACCAGGCCCAACTTAGCAGGGGGATGAGTGTGGTTCAGCTGACGGTGTTTGGCCCCTTCGGGGTCAGCCTCAGCTTTCCAGCAGGGTTCCCACTCTTCTTTGAGTGGCTCCTGGCCACTCAACTGGGCAGGGTGCTGGACAAGGGCCCTGCCGTTTCTACCCAACATGGGACTGCTGTACCTGGAGCTTCCCAAAGGGCTGTCAAGCCCTTGTCGGGCCTGCCTCACAATCTGTGTCTCCCCTTCCCAATGCACATCCCTTTCTCCCTTCCCAGGGGTCATCTCGCAGTAAACATTTGACATCCCATCTCCATCCTGGAGTCTGCTGCCTGATGACCCGACCTGTGGAACTCCACTTCTTCATCTAACCAAAGAGGAGAATTAAATACCTCCTTGTTTCAAGGATTGATAACAAAACGATGTATATTAAATACCTTGTCTCAGCTCCAATGCCTCTCCCTGGGGCAGTGGGCTTTCTATTTGCCCCTTCAAAGCTACTCTCCACCCCTATCCACCCCACCCTAGGCATCCACAGGCAGAGATCAGTGAGGTCAGGTTATTTCTTCCTCTGGCTCCTTCTTTGCCGAGTTGCTGTGGGTTGGTGGCCTCCTTAACTGAAGGCCACAGCCCTTCAGACAGCTCTCACTGACAAGTGCTCCCTGCCTCTTGGCCTCCGGGCTGAAGGGCGGTCATGCTGCTGCTGCTTCCCTGGCACACTCCTCCACCATCCCTTCTCATTTCCCTTAACCTCGGTAAACAGTCCCTTTATTAAATGCTCCTTGACTTCCCTATGTGAGTTTGTTCTGGATTTTCCCTATACCCTGATTGATCAATCAGTGAGGATACTTTAAGGGCTGCAAGTTCTAGAAATGGCTGCAAGTGCTCCAGGTGTCATGTCCATGCACAGCAAAGGTCAGAGGAGGCACAGTGGACCCTCTCTTCCTGTGTCCTCTTTGTAAGAAGAAGAAACTCTGCCAAATGCCTCTCACCTCGACACTCCTCACCCTGACCGTTGGTAGGAATGGGCCACACACCTTAGCCTTGGGTTCCCAGAAAACAGAGCCAGAGACAAAGTATGAGTTTGGGTGTTTCACTGGCAAGTGTGATTCTAGGAATCAGAAGTGAGGACAGAGGAGCACAGCAGGGGAGCAGAGAGCACCGTGTAAGGATGTCGAGTTGGCCACCACTACAAGCCACCAGTTGCCCTATCCCATGGGACTGCTGAGAAGCCATATGAAGTGTGTCTCAGGACCATACGTCCTGGCAAGAAAGGAGAAAAGCATCTTTTTATGGCTTCCAGCCCCCCACCCTCCATTGGTTAAAGGGTCACCCTAAGGAGTGTTACCTCTCCCTACACTTCAGGGTTGCTCATGCACATGCACACTTTCATGGGTCCCCACATTCTAAGTTATGCAAGCAACACAGAGGATCCAGGACAGAGGGTAAAAGGCACATAGTGCAGGCCTGATCCACAGCACCATCAAGTCACACCTGTACCTGTTACCTGTACATGAAGATGGTCAGGGACCATACAAAGTGGGTCACTGAAGCAATGGATGGAATATAAACTAAGTGTGGCCAAGAGGGTTTGAAGAGGTGCACATGGGCAACCAGTAGACATGCTCACTCCTAAAATGGTCACTGGCAAGGGGAATGAGATTGCTGTGACTGGTTTAAGTTAATCATTTGTGATGAATGGATGCTCAGGATTCCACCCAAATGCCTCCACAAAGAAATCGCCCTTACCTCTCCTCTGTAAAGGACACTAGTCACTAAAGAACCCATCACTCCCAGCACCCCATTCATTCCCTTGGTGACACCTACCACAATGAGTAATCAGCCTGTGTAGCTCCCACTGTGGATTGACCAGCTCAGTGTTCACACACACCCCCCACCCCAGCATGTGAAAGCTGGAAAGATAAAAACCTGCCCTTGCTGCTTGGTCATGGTTTAAATTCCTCCAATGAGGCATAGTCATTTTGCTAGGGCAGATGGTGGAAGGGATGGCAGATTTTGGAGCCATGCCTTTTTACAAACACTTAAATCCCTTCATGATGAAGTTACTTGGACTCATCTGGATCTCAACCATGAAAATGACATCTTGTTTACTTATTAGCTTGCTCGTTATTATCTGCCTCTCCCCACTTAAACTGAAGCTCATTGATACCAGGCACTTGTTTGTTTTTCTTTACTGTATGGACAGTACCTGCTACATAGCAGGAGCTCGAGAATGATTTGTTGGATGGAATGATTTGTTGGATGGATGGATAGATGGATGGATGGATGGGTGGATGAAGGTGGGAAGACCGTGCCATGTGGAAGAAGAGGAAATAGTGGGTCATGATGCTCATTTTCCCCACCCAGTAAGTTTTGGAATGCCCCAGGGCCAAGTCCTCACTACTCTTCTGTACTCACCTGCACTCCCTGGGTGAGCTCATCCAGAGTCATCAGTCTAACGTTATATCTCCAGGCATGACCTCTCCCTTGAATTTCTGACTCCAGTCTGACTACCACCCAAATTTTCCATTCAGATGTTAATAGGCATTTTGAATAATGGATCTAAAACAGAACTCTTAATTTCTCCTCCAAATCTTCTCACAGACTTCCTTATCTCAGTAAATGACAGCTGCATTCTTTCAGTTGTTTGGGCGTCAAAGCTGGGCATCACCCCAATGCCTCTTTCTCTCGCACATGTCTCATCCAATTCTTCAGCAAATCCTCTGGGCTCTACATCATGTATAGAAACCCACCATTTCTCCCCCACCTCCACCTTCCTGATCTAGGACACCATCCTCTTCCAACTGGATTATTGCAGAAGCCTTTTATATTGGATGCCTCTGGTGACTCACATCACATATCCCCTGGTCACCTCTGACTTCACTTCCAACTGCAGTGGACAGTCGTGTATGAGCTCAGCTGATCCGGTGCATACAGTGTCTTGCCTCCAGTGCACACCTCGTACCTGTTTGCCTTCTGCCCTGGATTTCAATGCTGTCAGAGTCCTTTTGGTTCCAGCACAAGATCTACTTGCTTCTTGCCTCGAGTGTGAGCTGCACATCTCTTTGCTCTCTGCCCCATCAACGCTTGATGCTATAGGAGCCTGCTTTATCCATGCACCCCAAAGTGCAGAGTTAACACCCCAGGGGCAACCTTCAACCAGTGGGGGACAGGGTAACTGGATAAACGTTCCTGCTTCCCATACTTCAGGCAGATAATTCTGGGAAACTGTGCACTTTTCAAGGAGCCTGGTAAACTCAAGCTCCTGCCCACAGCAGTGACATAACTAATGTACCCTTAGGTTGGCTTTTTCTCCTTTACCGTCTCATTATCCCACGCCCTCATGCCTGCTTCTTGGGTCATCTCTCAGAAAAGCTCATGCGCACATAAGTCCTTTTCTCAGTCTCTGCTTTCAAGGGAACCCAAGCTAAAACAACGTATCAATTGCTATCCAGCAGCAGACTGATCCTTTTATTATTTTTTTAATTTACTTATTTATTTTAGAGAGAGCAGGAGTGGGAGGGGCGGAGGGAGAGGGAGAGAAAATCTCAAGCAGCCTCCATACTGAGTGCAGAGCCCAATGAGGGGCTTGATCTCATGACCCTGAGATCATGACCTGAGCTGAAACCAAGAGTTGGACGCTCAACCAACCGTGCCATCCAGGTGTCCCCAGACTGATCCTTTTAAAACATGTCTGATCGTGTCTCTCCTGAGCAGAAAACTCTCTGGTGACCCCATTTCACCTAAAAGAAAAGCCGAAGTCCTTACAATGGCTGACAAGGCCTAACAGAATCTGCCCTTCCTACTGTTTCCTCTCTGAGGTCATCTGCTAATCTTCCTTTGCTCTACGATAGCCAGTATTATCATTCTTTGCTCTACTATAGTTCTTCAAAGATACTCAGCACACTCCTGCCGCAGGGCCTTTGCACTGGCTATTCTTACTGCCTGAAAAGTTCTTCTTTCAGCTATTTCCAAGCATGCTTCTTTACTTCCTTCAGGACTCTTCTTAAAACACTTCCCAGAGAGGCCTTCCTATGTAAAATAGCAACCTGCACCTCCCCTAGCATTCCTTGGCCCCCTCCCCCTGCTTCATTTCTCATAGCACTGATCACCAACCTCAGAAATTGTCTTTTTAATTTTTTGTATATTTTCTATACCCCCCCACCTCACCCCAACTTGAATGTAATCTCCATGAGAACAGGGACTTGGGGACTTTATTTTTTATTCATTTATCTATTTTTAAGTAGGTTCCATGCCCAGTGTGGGACTTGAACTCACAACCCTGAGATCAAGACCTGAGCTGAGATCAAGAGTCAGATGCTTAACCCACTGAGCCACCCAAAAAACCCTATTGGTTTTTTTCACTACAGAACCTAGAACAGTGCTTGGCAAGTGGTAAGTGCTCAATAAATATTTGTTGGATGAAACTCATTCATAAATAAGACTGAAGAAGCAAGTAGGGATCAGACTGTGGTGACCCTGAAGCCCCTGTTCTGGAGTCTGGCAGTAAGTGTGGTGGCAGTTCTTGGCTGTGAGGACACTGGAGGCTGGTGGCAGGACACCTTGGCCAAGAATTCACTTAAGGTTTTGCCCTCTAACACTGTTCCTAGTTGACAACCTTTTTTTGGGGTGGGGGCTATGCTCTGAAATTTGTCTCAAGAAGTCCCAGGTAAAACCTGGAAGACCTCAGAGCATTTAGAAAAATAAAATCTCTATAAGCTTGGACCTCAATTCTGTGCAGAATGTAGTTTGTCCCCTGCTGGTCCCTAAGACCCTGGCCATCACCAGCATAGAGTGACCTGTGCCACCTCTGAGTGCTGGTCAGCAGCTCAGTTGCCAACAAGGAGGCTTCTGGTGGTCGCTGGTGGTCTAGCCAGGGAGCTAGCTGGAATCCAGCAGGGCACTGGGAAGGAGCTGAGGGTGGCCTGGTGCTGTAGGTCTGAGCTTGCCATCTCCAAGATCTGTGAAGAGTCCCCTCTGGCCCCTGCCACTTGGCCCAGCCACCCTCATCTGGGGTTAGGGACTAGGCCAGGCTCATTCTGTCCTCCGGAGGAGAATTCTCTCATTTGTCTTCGCAGGGATCTGGGTCCTCACATGCAGCAAGCTCCTGCAAGCACAGGAGACACGGCCCCACGAGCACATGGGAAGGGAAGGAAGCCCCCTCCCTGATGGGGTTGCTTGAGCCCCGGCCCTTCCTGGCTTCCCCGAGGCTCCGCAGGCAGTCAGAAGCGGGGAGCTGCTGTTTGGGACTGAAGAGGTTAATGTGCATCTGCTTCCGAATGTTAATGTGCATAGGTGATGTCAGTGGGAGCCGGGGAAGGAGGGAGTGGGGAGAGAAGCGGGGCTTGGAGGCGGAAGACGCTGCCAGACCGCCAGGAAGACCCCCTTCCAGACTGCGGGGCTCGTGCTCTGGGACGGACGGGCGGGCGGCGCTGCCGCAGCCTGCGTGGGCGGACGGGCGAGCAGGCGACGGGCAGCGGCAGGATGGACCTGGAAGCCTCGCTGCTGCCCACTGGTCCCAATGCCAGCAACACCTCGGATGGCCCCGATAACCTCACCGCGGCCGGTGAGTAGTGCTGGAGGGGAGTCCTCCTTCCTCTGCGCTGGGGGTGGGAAATGGGAAGGTTTCACCTCTGAGCCAAACTGCTCCGGAAACTTTAGTACAGTTCTTGGGCTTGAGACCTGCGGTCGGCTTTGCCCGGAGGGGAAGGGGAGAAGGGGGCGGGGCAGGCAGGGGCAGCAGGGGCAGGGGCAGAGAAGAGGGCAAAGGCACGTTCAGAAGCGGCCCGCCAGTGAGGGAGACAGGGGAAGACTCACCCATGAGTTCCAAATGCTTTGCAGAAAAAAATTCCAGGCTGGAAAAGCAAGCAAAAGAAGCCAGAGGATGGTATGTGAGGAGACAGCTGGAAGCTCACTCATTCACCGATCCCCTTGTCTTTTTACTGAAACTGCAGTAATGGGATCTGAAACATCCTTCCCGACCCCTGGGAAAGGCCCTGGAAAGGGCTAACTCACAGAGCCATGAGGGGATTAACTTTCCTGGTGAATGAAGCTTCCTGACATTTCCAGAGCCAAAATGCCCTGAAATTCTAGCTCTGAAGGAGAGGAAGGAAAAAGAGGAAAGGCTTGTGTGCAGAAAATTCTCAGGCAGCTAGGCTGCAACACACAGCTTCAGTCTCTGCTCACTTGGGAAGCCCAGGCTCAGAAGATATAGACCAAGGAATTCCCTGATAAGAACCCAGGAGAAGGGAGGGCTGCGGGCCTGATGGGCAAAAGCCTCCCTTCACAAGACAGTAGCCCACAGATATGCCTAGGAATCCGTGCACAGCCTCCAACTAGCGATTTCTAAAATGAGATGATCAGGGCTGCAAACAGTAAACACATGAATGCGCCCATCCATACATGTGCTTGCTCACCCACATGTGTGCACATGCATGTGTGCACGCGTGTGTACTTGTGTGCACCCGCCCACACCCCCACACACACTTTCATGTCCTTCTGGCTATGTTGACTGACAAGGTTTCCTGGTGAAGCCTACGGGCCCACAGAATAATTCTCTGCAGACAGCGGTGGTTCCTGATTCTGTGCCTTCTGAGGAAATGCAGGAAGTAAAGGACTGGGTCCTTCAACTAACAGGTGGTGCGGGAGAAATCTGGTAGGATTAGCCAGGGAACTGGTGGAGGAGGGCAAGGGGAAGGATTAGCAACAGTGTGGGGAGGGAGAATGGTAGGAAAGGATTCCAGTTGAATGGTGAGCCCTGAGCTGAAATGGAAAGGAGATAAAGAGGTAGGCAAGCACGTCATCACTGGAGGCTGAGCACGCCGGGAGGATGTCAGCCCTTGGAGAGGAGTCCATGTCAAATGGTCAACATTTGCTCCTTTTGTCCCCAGGGCCACCTCCTCGCACAGGGAGTGTCTCCTACATCAACATCATCATGCCTTCTGTGTTCGGCACCATCTGCCTCCTGGGCATCATCGGGAACTCCACGGTCATCTTCGCAGTGGTGAAGAAGTCCAAACTGCACTGGTGCAGCAATGTCCCCGACATCTTCATCATCAACCTCTCGGTGGTGGACCTCCTTTTTCTCCTGGGCATGCCCTTCATGATCCACCAGCTCATGGGCAATGGTGTCTGGCACTTTGGGGAGACCATGTGCACACTTATCACGGCCATGGACGCCAACAGTCAGTTCACCAGCACCTACATCCTGACTGCCATGGCCATTGACCGCTATTTGGCCACTGTCCACCCCATCTCCTCCACCAAGTTCCGGAAGCCCTCTGTGGCCACCCTGGTGATCTGCCTCCTGTGGGCCCTCTCCTTCATCAGCATCACCCCCGTGTGGCTCTACGCTAGGCTTATCCCCTTCCCAGGGGGCACGGTGGGCTGCGGCATCCGCCTGCCCAACCCAGACACTGACCTTTACTGGTTCACCCTGTACCAGTTCTTCCTGGCCTTTGCCCTGCCCTTCGTAGTCATCACAGCCGCGTATGTGAGGATCCTGCAGCGCATGATGTCCTCGGTAGCTCCGGCCTCTCAACGCAGCATCCGGCTGCGGACAAAGAGGGTGACTCGCACGGCCATCGCCATCTGCCTGGTCTTCTTTGTGTGCTGGGCTCCCTACTATGTGCTACAGCTGACCCAGCTGTCCATCAGCCGCCCAACACTCACCTTTGTCTACCTATACAACGCAGCCATCAGCTTGGGCTACGCTAACAGCTGCCTCAACCCCTTTGTGTACATCGTGCTCTGTGAGACATTCCGCAAACGCCTGGTCCTGTCAGTGAAGCCTGCCGCCCAGCTTCGAGCCGTCAGCAATGCCCAGACAGCCGACGAGGAGAGGACAGAAAGCAAGGGCACCTGACCCTTCCCCTGCCACCCCGGGCACCTCCAAGTCAGGACAGCATAGCAGACCAATGAGGAGAGACCTGAGAAGAACAAAAGACCCCTCTGGGAGAATGCAGGGAGGCTGGGTGGTGAGGGGTTGTGGCAACTAAAAACATTCCACAGGGTCCACAAATTGCTGGGGAGGCTGGGAGCCAGATTTGGGGGCTTCAAGCATCAGAAGTCCCCTTGGGAGAGTAGGAAGAGACCTTTGGATTGAACAGAAACTGAGCAAGAAGAAAATTTTGGTTTAAATGTTCACTTGAGCCCTACATCTCTTAGCTCCCACATGTCTTTTTCTCAACTGCCGGTTTATTTGAAATCTGGGAAGGCCCTACTTCAGGGTGTGAGTGGTGGGGCCCTACTACAGGGTCCTGGGGAGATGGGAAAGCGGTATGTCCTCAACGTTCTTTCCCATCTCTCATTGGTGAGATGGAGGGCAGCCTTTCTCCCAAGCTGGAGGATGATAAGAAATGAAGCATGCCATCTCTCTGTGTTCCAGCATCCTGTCAATCTGCCTGTATCTCTAGGGGATGCATGCTTATTTTTGGGGGGGGTCAGTGCTCTGAGCCCACAGGAGTAAAAACCCAATTTGTAGGAGATTCACTTATTGAGAATGACAAGGCTACCTGAGTGGGTATGGGTAGAAGTCTTGAAATTAAGAAAAATGGGCAGGAGCAAGGGGGCTTTTGCAGCTGTGGGGACATTGTCGTCATTAGGCACATTTGTTAATCACCAGATCCAGAGTGGGTGCCCGTCAGTGCCCTGCATGTGCAAGGGTCATTGTGATGCCTAGTGTGTTGGCATCATCTTTTTGCTCCAGCCCTTCCTCTCCAAAATAAAAAATGAATAAAGGAAAATCTCTACCCACATCTCTTTGGATGCTCCTGCAGAATTGCTTGGGCTTGGGGGTGGGGGTGGGTGGCGGAAAAGGGAAAGAGGGGTCACTTGGCTGTGGAATCTAGACCTTGGTCAAGCTGCATCTTAGGAAGCAAGAAGCAGGGGATCTAAACCCACAGGAAGGATTCAGCCCCACAAACGGAATTACTTTGGATTCCTTAGATTGCAGTTCTGCTGCTGGCCTTGTGCTCAGGACTCAGCTTCCTGTCTTCTGCTCAAAAGCACTTGGTTGTCATCAGTGCTGGCCCCTCAGGCCCCAAATCCCACCCGTCACCTCCCCCGCTGAGTCACCAGTCACACTCCTGGCTTCTGGGGCAGCCTGAGCCTGCCTCCTGCTGCAGCCAAGATCTGATGTTGAGCAGGAAGATTACAGATGGGCCGCTGGGCGGCAGCCAAGGCTGCTGCTTCTCAAGCTTCTTCACGGAGAGGAGGGGCGGGGGGACCAGGAGTCCAGGGGCAAACCGCTCAGCAGACGCTGAGACAGTGGCAACAAATCGTGAGCTCCCAACTTGTTCAGATGCATCCGTAAAGTAGGTGCATCAGCTCAGCCTTTTCTTGCTGGCTATTTTTCATTGCAGAGTTGCAGCAGATAGCCCGCTTAGCAAACTTCAGGTCCCGACCAGCTTTTTTTTTCTTTAAGATTTTATTTGAGAGAGAGAGAGAGAGAGAGAGAGAGAGAGAGAGAGAGAGAGAGGTGGGAGGGGCAGAGCGAGAGGGAGAAAGAGTCTTAAGTAGATTCCACACTGAGCGCGGAGCCTGACGCGGGATTCGAGCCCATGACCCAGAGATCGTGACCTGAGCTGAAACCAAGAGTCAGTAGCCCAATGGACTGTGCCACCCAGGCACCCCTGGACAGCCCTTTATATCATAATCATTAGCTGTAGTATTTTGGGGCTTGTGTTCCCCTCCACCTCTATAGGGGCGTGGGGGAGCCAAGAAGCTGACAGTTTTCCCTAACAGTGGTGTCTCTAGCTGCCACAGGTAAGCTCCCAACCTATTTCAGATGCACATTCAACAAAAGAAAAGATTCTTAGGGAAGCCTTGAGGCAACTCCTACCCACTGGTTCCAGAAAAGGAGGTTTTCCTGCATGTGGTTTGCCTGTGAAAGGCTTCTGTCCACCCCTCTCCCCTCCAAGGAGGAGTCTGGGAGATGAAACAGGCCAGGTGGCCTCTCCCAGGAAATGCAGGTGATGGGCTAAGGAGGGCCCAGCAACACTCCCTCCTTCAGCTCTCAACCCCAGTTGAAAACTGACATTGAAGCAAAGTAGGTTGAGACAGAAAGTGAGTGGGTGGAAATGTAAACAGAAGGGAGGGGAGAGGATTGGGGGAGAGTTGAAGTCAGGAGGAACCTGGGGGGATGCAGAAGGAAGGGAGGCAGGGAGATTAGAACGGGGGTAGGGGAACTGTGCCAACACATCCTTCCCCAGCCCAACTGTGCAGGTGCCACTAGATAAGAATAAGCACAAGCATGTGCAGAGGGAAGGGGTGGGTTGCTGGCAGGACTGTCATCATGACATCACTGGTGGGAATGGTGGGCTGAGGGTAGGGCTGGTCGCAGGTCTGAGGAATGAGTGGAATTTTCCTTTCCTCCTCATTCAATCTGGAGCTATGAATAGCCCCAACCTCAGGGAACTGCGGGGGCCACTGAGAAGTACGGAGTCCAAGAAGTGGGTGAAGAGCACAAAATTGATCTCTTTGCTCCTTTTCCCATTTCCATACCTAATAAATACCGTCTCTCTCCTTGGGGCCCATCGCACCATCTCCCCAAACCCAGTGAGTGCTTCCTACATTGCTCCTTCATCTACTCCCCAGAAAATATTTCATCTCCCACTGTGAGGACTAAGTCCCTAAAGTCCTCAACAGTGGAAGGATTCCAGAGCAGGGAGACCTCACAGGTTAGGCAAACCAAAGTTGTAAGTGACTGCAGGCAAACTCTCCTGCATATTGATACTCACTAAAGAAATACCTGTAAGAACACCAAATAAAGGGACTAGCCATTTTTGTTATTTCCTGCATTATCAGTTTTGGTTTTTTTTTTAAGTAGGCTCTACTCCCAGCGTGGAGCCCAGCTTGGGGCTTGAACTCATGACCCTGAGATCAAGACTTGAGCTGAGATCAAGAGTTGGATATTTAACCCACTGAGCTACCCAGGTGCCCCATCAGTTTTTATTTTGTTTTTTATTGTGGTAAAATATAAATAACTGAATTATACACTTAGAAATAGTCAAGATAGATTTTAATTACATGTATTTTAACACAACAAAAGATATATAGATATAACCATTTTAACTGTTTTCAAGTGTATAGTTCAGTGGCATTAAGTAACTCATTGTGCATAATAATATCATTGTGCAACTATCACCACTACCCATCTCCAGAATTTCTTGGTCTTCCCATACTGAAACTCTACATCCATTAAGCCAACTCCCCATTCTCCTTCCCCACAGCTCCTGGCAACCGCCATTCTATTTTTTGTCTCTATGATTTTGACTACTCTATGTACCTCATATAAGTGGAATCATACAGTATTTGTCCTTTCATGTCTGACTTATTTCAATTATTATAATGCCTTCAAGGTTCTCCATGTGATAGCATATGTCAAAATCTCATTCCTTTTCAAAGTTGAGTAATATTCCACTGTATGTATCTACCACCTGTTGTTTATCCATTCATCTGTCCGTGGACATTTAGGCTGTTTCTACCATTTGGCTATTGTGTATAATGCTGCTAGGAACATGGGTATACAAATATCTGTTTGAGATCCTGCTTTCAGTTCTTTTGTGTTTATAGCCAAAAGTGAAATTGCTGAATCATATGGCAATTCTATGTTTAACTTTTTGAGGAATGCCATACTGTTTTCCACAGTGGCTGCACCATTTTACCTTCCCTCTGGCAATGTACAGGGGTTCTCCAATTTCTCCACATCCTTCCCAACAATAGTTCTTTTCTTTTCCTTTCCTTTCTTTTCCTTCCTTCCTTCCTTCCTTCCTTCCTTCCTTCCTTCCTTCCTTCCTTCCTTCCTCCCTCCCTCCCTCCCTCCCTCCCTCCCTCCCTCCCTCCCTCCAATAATAGCCATCCTAATGAATGTAAAGTGGTCTTATTTTGGTTTTCAATTGCATTTCCCCAATGATAAGTGATGTTGAACATCTTTTCATGTGCTTATTGGCCATTTGTATACTTTTTTTTAAAAAGATTTTATTTATTTGACAGGAAGAGATACAGCGAGGGAGGAACACAAGCAGGGGGAGTGGGAGAGGGAGAAGCAGGCTTCCCGCCGAGCAGGTAGCCTGACGCAGGGCTTGATCCCAGGACCCTGGGATCATGACCTGAGCCGAAGGCAGATGGTCAATGACTGAGCCACCCAGGCGCCCCGGCCATTTGTATATCTTCTTTGGAGAAATGTCTGTTCAAACCTTTTGCCCATTTTTAAAATTGGATTTTTTTTATTATTAGCAATAATATTTTACTCAATTCAAATTAATAATAATTGATTCTTTATGACTTATTACTGAGAAAAAAATTTTTTTAGCTAGGCTTTTTCTCCCTGCTATTCAATGAGATACTTGGCTTTTTTTTTCCCATGGAGCATTTGGATGGAAAGCCACAAATCCCCCAAAACCTCCTCCTTCTCCTAGCCGTATGATTTGCAATGAGTCAAACTGATCAGCAGCTTGAGTTGAGGAGGTCAGAAAAAGCAAGGTAGCATCCCATCTTGGAGGATGGTTAGTGAGACCAGGCTAAAACTTAATTTTACAATTAGCAATGACTTACTAATTATACCTAAATTCTGAGATGGTAGAAATGGGGGGAGTCATGGTGATGGAGGAGGGGCGGGGATTCCTCTTTGAGGTGGGGTTTCTCTTTGAACAGTGATGGGCAACCTACCCTGAGTGCCCCGACTTCATGTCTAAATCTCAGAGGATAACCAGGAGAACTTTCTAGGTCAGAGATGGGATGGAAAAGTCATTCACTTAATTATAGCAAAGCTATCTCCTTGATTAGTGATGAATAGTAGTGATCTCAGGCTACACAGAAGGGCAACATCCTTTGTTAAAAAAAAAAAAAGCTTCTATTTTTTTA